TCTTCCCCCTTCTAAGTGGGATTAAAGCATCCTCACTTGGGCCATTCTGCTTCTTAAACTTCTTAAGGTCTGTGGGTTGTATCCTGGATATTGTGTACTTTTTGACTAATATCCACTTATAAGTGAGACATATCATATATGTCCCTTCGTATCTAAGTTACCTCACTCAGGATGATATTTTCTAGTTCCATCTTTTTGTCTGCGGTACTCATGGCTTTCTCATTCTTAATAGCTGAGTGGTGTTCCATTGTATAAATGAATGACATTTTCTGTATCCTTCCTTCATTTCCAAGACATCTGGGTTGTTGCCAGATCTTGTTATTGCAAATAAGGCCACTATGGACATAGTAGTACACTACTCCCTCTGGAATGGTGGAGCATCTTTTGGGTATATATATATTTATCTTCAGGTACATCTATTTCCAATTTTCTGAGGAACTTCCAGATTGATTTCCAGAGTGCTTGTACCAGTTTACAATGTCACTGGCAATGGAGGAGTGTTCCTTTTTTTCTACATCCTCACCAACATGTGCTGTCACCTCAGTTTTTGGTCTTAGCCATTCTCAATGGTGCATGGTAGAATCTCAGGGTTGTTTTGATTTGCATTTCCCAAGTGCTTCTGAGCCATTCAAGATCCCTCTCTTGTGAATTATCTGTTTAGCTCTGTACCCCATTTTTTAATTCGCTACCTTCTTGAGTTCTTTTTATATTTTAGATATTAGCCCTCTATAGGATGTGAGGTTGCTGAAGATTTTTCCCCAATCTATAGGTTGCTGATTTGCCTATTGACTGTGTCTTTTGCCTTACAGAAGCTCTTTAGTTTCGGGAGGTTCCATTTATCAATTCTTGATTTTAGAACCTGAGCCACTGGTGTTCTGTTCAGAGAATTTCCCCCTGTGCCAATGAGTTTGAGGCTCTTTCCCACTTTCCCGTCTATTAGATTCAGTGTATCTGGTTTTATCTTGAGATCCTTGATCCACTTGGACTTGAACTTTATGCAAGTTCATAAATATGGATCTATTTTCATTTTCCTACATACAGACTTTCAGTTATACCAGCACGATTTGTTGAAGATACTTTCTTTTTTACCATTGTATGGTTTTGGCTTTTTGTCAAAGATCAAGTGTCCATAAGTGTGTGCATTTATTTTTGAGTCTTCAATACTATTCCACTGATTGACCTGTCTGTCTCTGTACCAATACCATGCAGATTGTCAAAGATCAAGTGTCCATAAGTGTGTGCGTTTATTTTTGAGTCTTCAATACTATTCCACTGATTGACCTGTCTGTCTCTGTACCAATACCATGCAGATTGTATCACTATTGCTGTGTAGTACAGCTTGAGGTCAGGAATAGTGATTGCCCCAGAAGTTCTTTCATTGTTAAGAACTGTTTTTGCTATCCTGAGCTTTTTTTTCCATATGAAATTGAGAATTGCTCTTTCCATGTCTGAATAATTGTGTTGGAATTTTCATGGGGATTGTGTTGAATCTTTAGATTGCTTTTCGTAGGATGGCCATTTTTACTATATTATTCCTACCAATCCATGAGCATGGGAGATCTTTTAATCTTTTGAAACGTTCTTTGATTTCGCTCTTCAGAGGCTGGAAGATCTTGTCATACAGATCTTTCACTTGTTTGGTTAGAGTTATACCAAGATATTTTATAGTATTTGTTACCATTGTGAAAGGTGTTATTTTCCTATTGTTCTGTCAGCCCATTTATCATTTGTACAAGGAAAGCTACTGATTTGTTTGAGTTAATTTTTTATTCAACCACTTTGCTGGAGTTATCAGCTGTGGACATTCTCTAGTAGAATTTGGGGGGATTGTTTATCACTTGAAGTTAGAGTACTATATTAAATAGATACAGAGAGTGTGGGCAGCCTTCTTTTGTCCCTGATTTTAGCGCGATTGCTTCTAGTATCTCTCCATTTAGTTTGATATTGACTGTTGGATTGCTGTATATTGCTTTTATTGTGTTTAGGTATGGGCCTTGAATTCCTCATCTCTTCAATGATTATGATGCTGTGTAAGTGTTATTGTAAAACCTTTTAATGGGTCAATCCCTATGATAACTGAGATAACAATTAATTAATGGGTAGATGGGGAACATACACAGAGTGGATATAATGCAAATAGAAAATTCATTTGCCCAGAAGCTAAAGTGAGATATTTTTATGCTACTCAGAATAATATGTAATTTATACTCATTAATTGTTTACTTCTGAAGTTTCCATTTAATAACTTTGAATTATGGTTGATCACAGGGAACTACAACTATAGAAATAAATCAAAAGTCAGAAAGAGAAGATTATTGTTATCTATATTTATTTTATGTCTGTTATAAGACTTATCCAAAATAGTAATTACAACAGAATTAGACTCCATATTCAATCCATATCAATTTGAGAGAGATTTAAGTGCAATCAGAATATAAATTATAAGAAAATAAAGTATTAAGCCTGCCTTCATAGAATAGTGTTATTGCTCTAATTTATGGTGCCTTTGAATCTTCTAAACACATAGTCATAATTTTATGTGAATTTTTATTGCAAAGACTGCTATTTCCTTCAGAATTTTTCTATTATTTGTTTTTACCTCACATCATTATACAGACTTAAAGGGTATGATATTATATTTTGATACATACGCACATTGCATATCAATCCCCTAAAATACTTACTGTTCTTTTGCAGTGAATTGGTCAAGATCTCCTCTAATTATTTAGAAGTAGAGAATACATTACTATCATCAATAATCGTCCTAGTGTGCAACAGAAGATAAGGGCTTGCTGCTGCTAAGTCTAATTTTATTCCCCAGGACAAATCATGTCCAATTTCTTCTGATCTTACCCTTTCCAGCATGTGCTAACTATTATCCTACTGTCTAAGCCTATGAGAGTAACATTTTCCACTTCTAAATATAAGTAAGATCATGGGGGTTTTGTCTTTCTGTACCAGGCTTATTTCAGTTGAATAACATTTTCACTTTATTTGGCTTCATACAATCATCAGCCAACTCATCTGCAAAGCATTCTGAACTAGGAAGTCAGAAATGGTTGGGTTTAAATACCAACCCTGCCATTCAAACTATTGAGCAGGTTATTCGCCTACATGAACCCAAGTTCCTTCCATTGTAAAATGAAGGCAATCAGATTGCCCACCTCATAATATAAGATTTAATCTGATAATATAAGTGAAGCATGTAGAATGATTGACAATATATTTATATTTAGTAAATGAATATCCCCTTTCTTCTACAACTCATTCTCACAGTCCTCTCTAGCTTGCATATGAGGGAATAAAGAATCTTTAGGAAACAACTAAGACTAGAGCAATCTTCCTCAGCAAAAGAGTTGACATGTTCTCATGTGTTTGTTCATTTGTTGGTTTGTTATTCTTACCACCTCTATGATGTCTGTACCCTTCTACATACTGCTGCTGAAGTTCTTCCCAGGCTTAATTGCAAAGTACTCCATCTTTCCTACTACTCTCCTATCTCTCCTGACTCCCTCTTAGGTATACCATATTTGTTAGAAGTGTCTCTCCCAGACTTACCATGTTATGTGATTATCGAGTTCAGCACTGTCCATAGGAAAGTTCTGAGACTTCTACTCTCACACCTGAACAGCACTCTGAAAGTCAAGAGCCTCTTTCTTTCTGTTAGTCAAGCACCTACATGTGTGACATCACTGGAAAGAAAGTGTCCATATAGATCAGTTTTAAAAGGCATGGGAAATCCATGGGAATCCCATTAAAAATACTTTCTCCTACTTATAAGAATGGCCTTGTGAGAAGCTCTCAGCAGACAGAGGTTGTCTAAGACATAAGGTGTCAGTAGAATGACACCCTCTGAGCAAATGACAGAAGTAATCTGCAGGCTTTACAGTGGCCTTGTGAGAGATGGGATTGGAACCTATTGGTTCATATGCCCAACTTCCTAACTTCCTTTAGTTCTTATCCAGGCAGAACTGCCTCTTACTCCTTCAATCTTGGTGACCTCTAGTCTGTGTTTACCCTTCGTAATTTTTTTCTTATATTCTTATATAACCAGATCACCTTTAATGCATGAAACCTTACCTCACCTTGTGCAGTGTCTTGTCTTTTGATCCTCAAGAACCTCAGCCAAACATGTTCTCCTAGAAATCAAAAGCTTTTCCTTTCAATTATTGTGTCTGATGTGGGCTTCAGGAGTTATTTTGAAGTTTTAAAATAGAACCAATATTTTTTTTTTATTTCTTTCTCCCTATTTCAAAATGTCTGCTTCTTTGAGAATTATTTCTTGGAGACCTCTGACTGAGTAATATAATCGCCCCATAGAAAGAAGAACAGAAAGAAAAATTATCAAGGTTGACATTTCACTCTAATGTGATATGACTCTGCAGAACAGATATTTGCATGTGTTATGTCCTTCCTAAAAATTGTAAATGCTTTGAAGTCAGAAGTTTAATCTTGTTCTTTTGTATATTTTCTCCTAGAACCTAGCTGTTAGACTTGCTACTTGTTGAAATCATTTGAAAAAAAACTGATGAGTTTATTTATTTAGTTTTTGTTTTGTTTTGATTTGATTTTGCCAAGGCCAAAGTCACATAAAATGACCTGGAAGTTAGTAACTAAAGGCAGCTCAGTGTGTTAATTAGTGAATATAGATTTGCAGAACAATTGTATTTTTAAAATTAAAACTATTCTCCTCATTATATTGGCACTGTTATTAAGGTGAAGGCCATATTATCAGCAAGACAAGTATGACAAATTCTAATGTTCTTTATGTATCCTGCAGGAATTTCAATGATCAATCTAAATAAATCGTGACTCATCTGATTATTTATGCTTATGCACAACCCAAAGCAAATCAGTGGTAAAAAGCTAAGAGATATTAGTTGGAGATAATGAAAACAAAATTTAAAGGCTGTTTCCTTTGGCTTTAGGGGTATAGATGATATCAGCCTGAAACAACTCACTTTTATTTAGTTATTGTGCTTTTTTCTGCCTTTATTTAGGTGACAAAGGGGAAAAGGGTCTGCTTGGGATTCCTGGAGAAAAAGGCAAGGCAGGTATGAACTACATGCTGAATTTGTTTTCACTGATTTCTGACACCACTCCAAATTTGTCCATCTCAAAATGATGTGTTAGAAAAAAAGAAAAAAAAACCAGAGCCCCTTTTGATTCATTCAACCTTATTTCCATGAACTAGAGGATATAAAGAAAGAGAACTTTCCTGTCTGCACACTGGTGACTTTCCAAGCCCTGGGGAAGGGAATAAGGGGACATTCCATCCCTGCTGTGCTCATGGTGAGAAGCAAGCCCAGCACATCAAGAATTGGAGCTCAGTGTTTGGAACCAAGAGAAAAGTCCACACCAGAAACTGCATCAGCAGCCATGCCTCGAGTCTAGAGTATGTGAGCCAAATGCTGGCCTGAGGTTGGCCTCCAGTGCTGATCTTTTTAAGGTTACCTGGCTACAAAGCTTGTCCTGCTTGAGCTTGAGGAGCCCTCAGAGAACTTGGCTTGTAATGTTTGATATGAGGAAGGAAAGTAGGTTATTTGGGGAAAATTTCCACTGTTTCTATTGACAGTGGTCTAGTGAAGACTCGTTCAAAGAATTGCTCAATATTCCCTGTGTTTATCTGTGTCTGTGGATTAATTAAAGCATTGGGTATTTTTCCATTTGCTTAATAAAATCAGTTTAACTTTTCATACTTCCAAGCAATAAAGATATGGAAAACTACATGCAGCAACCATTAAACAGAAATAAAAGAGTCATTTGAATTCACCACCATTTTCTTTGATTCTGCTTCTCTTCGCTACAACTCAGGGCCGGTAGAAAGCCGGGTGAGCAGAGCAAGAAGCACAACAAACTAAAATAATACTTAACCAGTAAACTGGAGAGCTGCCTTTTAAAAATTAGGCTGCATATATTTACAGTATTTAAATATAGGCTTTGAAACTGGACAGCTACACTTTACATGGATAATCAGAGTTAACTTGTGATTGAATCATGAAAATTTCCTCTATCTTGGGAGAGTTGTGTGAGCTTGTGAATAATGCAGTAACAGAAGAGAGGCCTGGCTACAAATACGTTTTAAGGAAGCTGTAAAAGATTCCTCCTGAAATCGAGCAGACCATTTCATATTCAAGAAAAACAGCAAATGGCTCACCGTCTCTGTGCAGCGCTTCATCTTGCTTATTCCTTATAAAACCCTCATTTAGAGTTGTTGTTTTTTTTTTAATTTATATATCTTTATTTTATATGTGCTGGTGTTTTGCCTGCATGTATGTCAGTCTGAGGGTATCAGATTTCAGAGCTACAGATGGTTGTGAGCTGCTTTATGGATGCTGGGATTTGAACCTGGGTCCTCTGGAAGAGCAGTGAGTGATCTTACCCACTGAATCATCTCTCCAGCCCCCACCCCACATTTCTAAAATACACTTATGACTTTTTACAGTGAAAATAATAAATTGGAACCCTTGTTGAAACGTGTAGCGATTCACAGAGAGTTGTATGTAACCAAGCTGGAAAGTGATAGAAAACACTGGGAATACAGAAATGGTCCTCTCCAGAAGATCATGGTGTGCTTCAGCATGAACTGACAGTTTTGTCGTTGTTTACAAGGTACCATCTGCGACTGTGGCAGATACCGGAAAGTGGTTGGGCAACTGGATATTAGCGTTGCTCGTCTTAAGACGTCAATGAAATTCATCAAGAATGGTAAACATAGTCACTGTTTTGCTCCATTTCATATCTGTTAATCTGGTCCTTCAACACTATATTCCTGAGCAAGAAATACCTTGGGTCAAGCAAAGTATCACAGTACAAAAGCCTCTCAAAATATTGAGTATCCTCTCAGGTCCCAATATTTTTAATTTTACTGCACAGATTCAGTCATTTGTGTGTAGTGTTTCAGGAGGAAAGAGGACTTTGCTAAAAGTGGCTGTAAATTCCACAGGATGGGAGTAAAAATCCTTATCCAAATTCTTTGGTCAAATTAAGAAAGTTTTATTTTCTGTAGCACAAGGCTATCTCCCTAAAGTGGGGTTGAAGAAGATAGCATAGCCAGGTGGTGGTGGCGCATGCCTTTAATCCCAGCCCTTGGGAGGCAGAGGCAGGCGGATTTCTGAGTTCGAGCCCAGCTTGGTCTACAGAGTGACCAGGACAGCCAGAGCTACACAGAGAAACCCTGTCTCGAAAAACAAAACAAACAAACAAAACAAAACAAAAAAAAGAAGATAGCATCAAACATAGGAAAAAGTTTATACATAGCCCAAAACATTATAGGCCGAGGTGATTTCCAAGGTTTTTTTGGTTACGTAGGAACTTACCAGAACATCTTATCTTGTCAGAGTGGAGGGCGGTCAGGGTATATTATGTGGAACACGTCAAATTCCAGAAAATGGGTCAAGACCTAGTCAAATCCAAGTTTTACAGAAACAGGACTGAACTTATTTTGACCTTTGGCTTTTAATCTTAAGATAGAGTGAGGCTGATCCATCAAACAGAAGGAGAAAAGAAGAAAGCTGAGTAAGCCATGAGAGAAGAAGAACAGACACAGATTGAAACAGAATCTCTGAAACTGTCATAGTAGCAAGGACTACTTACTTGAGTGTTTGGGATAACACATAACTACTAACAATAGAGCATTTGGTGTTTTCTAGTATTGTGTTACATGTGCTGTGAGCCACCTGAAGCATGAAGAATGTCCCACCTGGGGATACAGAGAGCAGAGTAGAGTTTTCCTGACCCCCTTCACAATAACATTCAGTACCATTCTTATGTGCGTCTATAAATTTTTCAGCTTGATCATTTTTCTTGCCCCTTGTCCATTTTCCCACACTAATGAATACTAAACTTTTCAACTTGGCAAGGGCTTTGCTGAGAGAGTTTTATTAAAAAATCTGATGTAGTGACTATGGCCAACTTCATCTGGCTGAACTTTCACTTAGTGTAATACGGATGTACGTGTTGCACATTAGTAGAAGCAAACAAATACAATCAACTGCTCAGAGTCACAGTGTAACGATAGAGGCACAGGGAATACCAATGCTTAACTAAGCACCTTCATTGGTTATAACTTCTGGTTGGAAGTCATAAGAAGATTCTGTATGTCGAAGCTGGAGAAATGGCTCAGCAGTTAATAGCTTGCACTGTTCTTTCAGAGGATCCCAGATCAGTTCTGACCACTCATGTCAGGCCGTTCACAACTCCCTGTAACTCAAATTCCAGAAAATCTGACACCATCTTCTGATTTCTATAGGCACCCTCATATAACATGCCCTACACAGAGAGAGACATACACACATAGTCATGAATAAAAAACAAATTTAAAGATAAAATTCTATATCTTAACATGACTCACACTCTCATGAACACACAACCACAAGTTATAACATTTCAGCAGTCACAGGTTTCTTTGTAAAGTTCATTAATCCCAAAATGAATACAAACCACAAAGACAGTATTATGAGTTGAAGGTCATTTTCAATATCTAGTTGTATCTTGAAAAGCTCAGTAGCTAAGTATCCCCTATAACTCTCTGGATAATCTCAATCATTGTGTATGTCCATATTCCAAAAATTCCTGAAGTGGACAAAACATCTTTATTATTCCCATGCTGTCCATTGAATGCTTGCGATAGAATTCGGCATTTCTTAGGGTGTTCTAGGCATTGGTTTGAAGAGCATCAGACATGATGACTAACCTCAAGACATTTGTAGTTCAATGTAAGATATACACAAACAAGCAGAGGCGACTGTGCTGAGTGGTATAAAGAGATAGGAAAGGACAATGAAGACATACTCACTTGAGTGTTAAGGATAGCACATAACTACTAACAATAGAACATTTGGTGTTTCTCGTATTATGTTACATATGCTATGAGCCACCTGTAGCATGAAGAAAGTCCCGCCCAGGGATACAGAGAGCAGAGTAGAGTTTTCCTGACTCCCTTCCCAATAATATCCAGTACAAATTCCCATGTCTACCAAGGGGCATTGGAAAAGCTTCATATAGAAAATGTCATTTTTCTCTGAGACGTAAAGATCATCAGGGTCTTTCCAGGCACGAAAGGTGAGAGTGGGGAAGAAAAGTGCCACATGTGCCTGATACAGAAGTGGTGAGGTGCTTCAGGTAGCAGCTCATATAAACCGAGCTCTGTTATCAGGAGTACTATGGGACAAATATGTGGGAAGCTAAAGAGGAAGAGGAGAGAAAACAGATGGTAGATTTTTATTTTGTACCCGATAAACAGCAAGACACAGACAAAATTAAATGAGTAAATACCTCATTATAACCTTGCAAAGGAGCTCTTGAGTGCTCTGAGTTCATTGAAATGTAACAATATTATATAACAATTTGCTTCTTCTTGTATTGAGACACATCGTGATATTCTTCATCTCCTCCTTGCAGTCATAGCAGGGATCCGGGAAACTGAAGAAAAATTCTACTACATTGTGCAGGAGGAGAAGAACTACAGAGAATCTCTGACCCACTGCAGGATCCGGGGAGGGATGTTAGCCATGCCTAAGGATGAAGTCGTAAACACGCTTATTGCTGACTATGTTGCCAAGAGTGGCTTCTTCAGAGTGTTCATTGGGGTGAATGACCTTGAGAGGGAGGGGCAATATGTGTTCACAGACAACACTCCATTGCAGAACTACAGCAACTGGAAGGAGGGGGAGCCTAGTGACCCCTACGGCCATGAGGACTGTGTGGAGATGCTGAGCTCTGGCAGGTGGAATGACACAGAGTGTCATCTTACCATGTATTTTGTCTGTGAGTTTGTCAAGAAGAAAAAATAGTTCCCCTCATATTACACAGTCACTTTCTCCCTTGGTCTTTTAGCAATTACTTGTATCCATCTTCCATCTTTACCTTCCTAATTACAATTTAGCTTTTGCTAAATTGACATAAGGGCTCTGCCTCCACTGTCTTCTTCTGTGTTAATTGTGACATTTTTGTACATGATGTTTACTTGGGCTATTCTTGTGGATCGTTCCTTGCATCTCTATTTAACCCTCTAGCATACCAGAAGGAAGACACTGGAATTCAGAAGGGAAAGGGGGCGGGTGGTTCTGAAGCAATACAAGTTATAGTTCTTCTGTTAAATTGTCCTCTGCTATTAATGACTCCATTTTATTTCATGAACGTATTCATGTAGACATTCTTCACCTTCAACATAAATATTCTAGAGGAAAGGGCTCAAGCCTTCAGAAAACCATAAAAGTTCTACAGTGCTACGCTCTCCAGGGACCTTCCCTCTTCCATCTAATACATCACCCATGGAGAAATTTCATGGGAGACCTTTCACTCTCTGTAAATCAATGTTGCTAGAGACGCCCTTTCTATTATTTTAACATCACCCAGATAGGTCCGGAACAACATTTGAAATGTTTTTAGAATCCTCATTTACTGAGCTGGCAACAGTCTACCTTGAGCTGCAGATCAAACCTCACAGCAGCTTTAATCTGGCATTTGGAAATAAACAGTGGAACAAAACTCTAGCTTCTCTCCTTATAAACGGATACCCTGCTTATGGGTTGTGACACATGATTAGATTGTTTAAAATGCTGGCAAAATAGTTAATGAAACAAGGGAAACAGATAAACAACATATGTTCTGCTTAAACCATCTGTTCATGACTCCGCCCATGACTAACTAGTGGTGAGAAGAGGCTACTGGCACTGGCTATGTGAATTCACCAAGAGTCACAAATCCACGTCCTACAGAGTCCAGAAAGATGACATAAATAGATGAAGTGGGAGGGGTGAGGCCCTTAATCCACTAGTCAAAGCCTGCTCTTTGAAGGAGCCAACAACTTAGCCACTGCTATTGCTGCCACCAAGGACCCAGAATCACTACAAGCCAGTATCCTGACATTTGAACTGAAGTCAAATGGCTGGAACTTTATAACTCCATATTTCCAAGTGTTGACAATTAATCAATATCTAACCTAGACTCTAAGACCTACAAATGACTGTTAACCAAATTATGAACTTTCCATTTCCATCTCTGGGGAAAGTTCTGAAAGTTCTAATTGTGCCAGGTGTCATTAGGAAATAATGACTTCAACGTCAGGTCTCCCATGAATGCCTTATTCAGTTCAGCTCAATAGGAGAAATTTGTTAAATCTTTGACATTTATCAGGTTTTTAAAGTAGTTACAGAGTCTCTTTTGAGAATGTGGCATAGGATATTTTGAAGGCCAATCAGTTTAATATAATTACAAATCAGGGCATCACGCCAAATGCCAGCCAAAATCTCAGAGAATTGGAACATTCAGAAACATGTGGAGGGATAGAAATGGCTGAGAGAAAAGAGAGGCAGCCAAAAGTAAACGCAGCCTAGGGCGGCTCCTGTTGGATTCATGTTCACAATTGCTCTGAGTCCCTCAAGTCTGAATATTTTGAACATATGGCAAAAGCTATCATTTCTATTATAAATTTATAATGCTAACAATCATTTTCTTAGTAACTCATCTCAGTTTGGAGGACACTTCTCAGAGTAGACAACAGTTTCAAGGAATAGGATCCATCAATTCCTGCCTGAAAGAACTTGAGACATTACATATTTAATCAGAACTCTATGTAAATGAGTGCTCTTTTCTATTTGTCTTTCAAGTGAGCATGCCAGTATATAACCCAGGCTGTTCTTGAACTCACACTCTTCCTGCTTCAGTCTCTTGGATGCTGGATGACAGGTATGCAATTCCAAGCCCAGCTGAAAATATACTACTCAATATGTTCTGTGTTTTAGGAAATCCTCTGTACCTACTTCCTCAAGGCAAGAAGTTTTACTGCCATTTTTCCAGTAAAAACAGTGCAGCCCTGGGAAGCAAAGATATTAACAAATTGGTGTATTTGAGAGAAAAGCAAAAATCTACCCTAGTCTAAGCTGAAAGCTATCTAGATTGCATGCTTAGAAGGTAGCAAGGTTTGTGTGTGGTGTTGTGGGAGTGGAGAAATGAAGTGAGTAGCATCACTGAAGGCACTGTCTACAGAGACTGAGAAATGCAGAGATTATCACTGATGAGAAGGTTGGTGGTGTGGGTTCATTTAGGGTAATACAGCTGTGTCAGCACTTCACAAAAGTTCAAACTCTAGATCTGGCCATCACAGCTGTCTTAATGCCATTGATTACTGTAACTCTTCTTAGCCATGTTATGGGGATAATTTAAATGTCCTTTATCTTGTGCTTTTATCGTTTACACTTCATAGAGAACCCTAACAACTAAGAAGGAGTTATAGTGAAGTATTTAGAAGAGTATCAAGTAGATACAATACATGGGGCCACAAGACTCAGACATTATTACTAACTACATGTGCTATGGGGTACGTGAGAGAAACAATGAATATTTTGAGATATATAAAATGTATTGATATATATTTACATATGTAGATGTAAATGGACATCAGTATATTATAAATAGAAAACTTATATTTAATTAAACAAAATATGAGTTTTAAAACATAAAAGTAAAATCACTGGTGTCTGGAGAGATAGCTCAGTGGCCAAGAGCCCATGAGACCCAGTTAAGTTCCCAGAGTCCACATCATGTGGTTAACACTTGTCTGTAATTTCAACTCGATGGCATCTGACACCTGAAGTGGAAGCTTCTGGTTTCTTTAAAAATACAATTGTGTCATGTGATGTTTTCTGGAAGCTGTTTTGTGATAAGCCATGCGATGTTTTTCTGAAAACAAACTCTTGAGATGGAACATGGTGTTTGGAAAGAATATAAATGGATCCCCACAAACAGTGAAAAGTGGCTCTTGTATTGTGACACTGTGCCACCCTTTGCTGGTCTTTGCTGGCCATGCAACACTGTGTTGGTCTTGTCTGGTCTTTGTTTGTCTTGACTTTGTAGAGCAAAATAGGTAAAAGAATGTCTCATGGTATTCCAGCTGATTCTAGTCATTTATTCTGACTTGTGGCAATTCAGCACAGCCTTGTAATTTCTGCTGGATTGTGCTACAACTACAGATTTGTGTTTGATGTATGTTATTAGACTGAACTACTAGTATCTTGAAAACGAAAAGTGGAGTCACCCTAAAAAACTACTTCTAAGCAGGTCCACAACCCCCTTTTCCTATTAACCTTCTTTCTCCTCTACCTCTGGTTCAGGGGCCTAGAAGGAAGATTGAATCATTTAAGAACCCTAAATGAAATAGGCTTTGAAAATCTGAGCCTACAGATACTATTACCTGGACTCCATGGGCTCCTACCTTCATATGTGCACAGTCTCACACACATACACATATATGCATGTAATTGTAGAAGGAAAATAAATCGGTTTTTAAAAATAAAACTGTTAGTTGTGATTATCAAGTCTTCATACTACAGCTTAATCCTTTCAAGTATGAGGGAAAATATCTCTTCTATCATTTCAATTAGGATTGAAGAACTATTTTCCATTGATCCCTTATACATAAACCTTTATATAGCATAGGAATGTGTGTCCCAGTGATTCTAACAGATGTTCTTTTAGTTTGTATGTGTATGCTGTTGGCAATTTAATAAGCCTTTGTGACAAATGAAAATACATTTCATCTGATTTGCACTCATTATCCTTGTTCTGAGTTTTGCTGCTTGAGAAGCATAAGCCATGAGTTCAGCTGGGGAATCAATGACAGGCTCTGGAGGAAAGGAGAAACAGGAGAAAGAACTGTCCTAGACATGCCAGGCATTATCAAAGTAATATCCAGTACCACAACATTCTCAAATACTAAACAGTTTTCTCATCACAACCAACTAATCTGAATTGTGTCCATGAGACATAAGAGGCAAAGATGAAGAGTAGTGGTAGTATTCAATCAACTGGGACATCTCAATCATAGGTGATTTATTCAATGAGATGGAGTGAGTGTATTATACAGGATCTACTATCTGGGGAAGACATTATACATAGATAGTTTGCAAATCCCATAGAAAAGGTTAAGGATAGGAGTCTTGTAGCTGTTGGAGAATGAAGTAGAGATTAGAGTCCATGTTTACAAAAGCACAATGCTTCCATGGGGAAGGAGTTAAAATAAGCTGTGTTTAGGATAACAACAAAATTCGCTAACTTCAGCATTAATCATCTATAGTATTGTATATCTATTGTTTCTAATGGCATCATGTTGAGAACTGGGAAAACCATGGAGAAGCCAGCTTAGCTTTCCACCCTCATGAGGAGAACTTAGTTCAGGTTCTTTGTACATCAAATCTATGGTAATGAGGCTCAAAACTGAAGGCATTGCCAAGATTATATAAAGGCATGCTGCTTTTACATCTGTGTTTTTTAACGTAATATCTCTTCTACAGTATGCTAAAATAACTTGGCTCAAGAAATTTTGTAGGAGGATTTACATCACCCTTTCTCAAAGAGTAACACTGACACATCTGTTCAAATATATTAATTCATCTATTTTGACTTACTCATTTTTTATGTGAACAAGATGTCCCATGTCAATGTGTATATCCACCCACATTATTTCCTTACAAGATAGAATTTTTCTTCGTGTTTGTGCATGAATGAACATTGACAAGTAGCAAGCATTTCTTGCCTTATCATTCTGTTGACCTATACCTGACAGTCAGTAAAACTCTTATTTGCCCAGACTGTCAGTTTTACAGTGAAATATGAAGGAAATAACAAAGTGATTACCTCATTTTATAATTGACTAAATTCTGATTATAACAAAACTTACCTAACATTTGCAGTTCCTTTTGGGAAATAGAGATAATTCCTGTGCATCAGTATAATTTAAATCTTTGTCATATGCACTGTTCTCATTATGAATCTTAGCTTAATTTACCAATAGTTAATTGTTGATTTTATATATATATATGAATGCCTCCAGGAGCTGGGCTGAACATGGTCACTGGTTACACTACACCCTTTGCTATATTGAGAGAATTCTAGTCCTGGAAAGAATACTCATAACTTCAATAATGGAGTGTAAAATACCTCACAAGTCACACAAGCATAGCCAAGATTGAGAAGAATAAAGTAACATTCACTTTCAATCCAGTAAGTTGATTGTAAATATAATACTGAGAATCATGGTGTGCCTGATATGACTTTAAGGAACAAGACGATTTTTCTCTGGAAGGTCACAACTTCACATAGCTATTTACTGAAGCAACTCACATAATGGAACCCTGGAGAAAGCTTGCCAACAGAAAGGGTGTGTTTTAGAAGTGAACACTTTCAGGAAACGTTAATGTTTGACTTTTGTGACCATAGCACTGTTGGGGGAATGCACATCCTTCAATTATTGAGGAAATATTCTACTGGCACTTGAGTTCCCTGTATCTCTCTATTTCACATAACAGAGACCCTTGCATGCCCAAAGAAGCTTAGAAAAAGAAAACAGTCAGTAAACACAGGGAGTATGTCACTTTGGTCATAGGTATAAGAAACTTCTTATCTGTGTAATTTATGAGATGAAGAATTTATTTGGGCTCACAGTTTGAGCCCATAGAGCCCTATACATCAGGAAAGGCATGATGTTGAATAGCACATCAGCAGGAGTGTGCAACAGTTGATTACATCTGACACCAGGTTGGTCAAGAGCTGAGAGAGAACAGGATCCTTGCAGGTTCACACTTCTTAGTGTGTCTGCTTTAGGGTCACCCAAGCTTCTGCCCAGAATCCTCAATCATAACTCAGTAAGTAGCCCCAAAGAACTTCAGTTCCCCAGGCTGAAGTTTAGTGAAATTGAAGCTTGGTTTCTGTCTGGGTCTTTAGAAGGAGGAGATAAAAGTTTGCCCAGCCCCCATCACAGCCACCACCTAGAACTAAAAATTCTTCCACCAATCAGTAAATCAAATGGGGCAGAATGCCAAATTGCTTTCCGCATAGGTGATGGGGTTATGGGCTTACAAGCTCTTTCTAGTGTAGATATGTTTATCAAACATGAAGTTCCTGAAGAACTTTCCAAGAACAGATGAAATTTGATATGGAAAAGGACCAAATTTGACAAAACCTTGAATATTTAATTTTCCAAAACTTCTGAAGCCCAGTGCAGGCTAAAGATTTCTGCTGCCTCCACTGCATGGAGTAGTTAGTTTTGCTACTCTTCTTCACAACCAGTAGCTTCATTTGTGTTCTTCCAGAAGGAGTTTACAAAGGTATCTGAGAAGGAAGAAAGATTTGCTTTCTTCTCAGACAAATATCTTCTGATATTTGTTAAAGTACAACCAATCCAGGTTGGGTGAACTGAGATAGACTTTATTGAATTTGTGGTGAAAGAAGTCCATTAGTTCAAAAGCTTACAAGAAGCCATTTTGAGTCCTCATAAATGGGGAGAGACTAACTTCTAATTATCATAACAGGTACCATTTATTCTTTTTGAAATCAGTACCAATAAAAGCAGTTGTGTCAAGAGTAAAGGAACTGGCACTCTATTGTCCCAGCAGGTTCAAGCAAAGACTGAGAATAGTCTGACTGAGAACAGTGTGACTGGTAGTGTCCAAGAGCTAATGGAAAGGAAAGTTATGATCAAAGCAAGAATGAGTCAGTATCCCAACTTCACAAATTATTCAGGAATGCAAAGAATTTGACAGGAAAGACTACCAGAGACTTCAAATAGCAGGAACCAGGTACATAGTGGTTTCTGTTCACGTAGGACTGAGAGCTTGTGTGTTGAGGGCACAGTCTTTGCTTTGTGAGTGATATCACTGTACAAACATGGTCTTGATGATTTGTGGAATGGGAGTTGATAAAGTCCAAACATTTGGTATGAATCAAATTATTGAGTTTTCTAAAATGTAGGGGTTAGGGCTGTATCACAAAAGCCCTTTTGTAGAACCCCCAGGAGCATAATGCTCATCCCTGAATTAATGATACTCATCATCTGAAGGAAGAGAGTCCTATACCACCTTTTTTGTATTTTTAAAGAGAGTGACACACAAAAAAAATCTTAAATTTATAAAATATCTCACTATGTAGAGATGTCCAGGGTTAACAAATGTATAAATAATATTTCCCACATATTTAGAAACTGTGGTGTACGTTTGTGTGTGTATGTGTATGTGGTGTGTGTGTGTGTCTGTCTGTCTGTCTTTCTGTAGATATATGGGTGAGTGGGCACAGCACATGCATGTGGAAACCAGAGGGCAACCTGAGATGGTTCCACAGGGGTCAAACACATTGGTGACAGATTCTCTAAATGGCTTCCAGCTGACCAATAAGCTAAGCAGGCTGGCTTGTGGTCCCCTAAGACCTGCCTGTCTCTGTCTCCCTGTGGCAGAATTATTAAAGTATACCACCATGCCTGGATTCTTCAAGTGAATTTTGGTGAGTGGAAGACCTAGCTGATTTGATAGAGATGGAAGCAGTTTGACTCAGAGAACCATCTGAACAACACTGATGTGGTTGAAGAAAACAAGGCTTCTACTCTCACCTTATGAAAGCCTTATCTCTGTGCTCGATTGTTCTCTCCAACTATTCCACAGCAGCCGAGAGTAGTCAGTTTCCAAACCATCTTTCAAGAATATCAAGACAAATTCTCTTTTACCTTCATTAATGCCATGTGCCCAATAAGTCTGTGGCTCGCCTCTTACCATGCCATTCTGACACAGAAGTTATGTTATCCTTATTTCCTTTCATCTCCAGTCAGCTATTAGATTATTTTTACTATATAGTGCATATGCTAAGAATATCTTAGACCTAGATCAAAGACGTAAGAAATGACTTAAAGTGCTGAAGAAATAAAACTCATGTACATTTGATTAATTAATCAAGAGTGATATCTACCAAATTATACATCTAAGCTTATACATCTAAGTTTTCTATCTATTACTCATTAGGATTCACTCATGTTGATGGTGCTAGGCAAACCCACATGAGACTAGACGCACACTATGGTAGAGAAGCCCTAGGCAATCAAGTTTCTTCTTCAAAAGGCTTTGTCAGAAACAACTTATGTTACCAAAGAGTACTTTGATTTTCTTACTCAGCAGCCATGTCACACATAACTAAAGACCATATTCTAAGATTCACACTTTTAGTGACAACTTTGCAATCTTATATTATCTGAACATGTGTCATAAAACCTAGATGGTTTCTACTTATACTCTTTACTGTACTTTCCTATAGAAAGTTTAGCTATAGAGTACTATAGAAATCATGAACATAGATTAAGACTTGATGGTACACATGCGAGCGTGATTACTTAAAGAAAAGATGTTGAATTTCAGAAGCAGGTTGAGATAGTCTAGGTTATTCTACATGTTTATTCATTGAGAGTTAACTCTTTGATAGTTGAGATTTTTATCATAGTTGCTGTCTCCCCAAATTCTTCATAGATCCACCCACCCAACTCTGTGTCTAGCTTTTTAAT